TCCTATGACGTTTTTTGGCATTTTGTGCTTTACTATACTATGACGTTTTTTGACATTTTTATGCCTTATTATACTATGACATTTTTTGACATTTTTATGCTTTTCTATAGGGTGACGTTTCTTGGAATTTATATGCCTTACTATACTGTGAAGTTTTATGCCTTATTGTAGTATGATGTTTCATGCCTTAATATCCTATGACATTTTTTAAAGTTTTTATGCCTTACTATACTATGAAGTTTTTTCACATTTTTATGCCTTATTATAGTATGATGTTTTATGCCTTATTATACTATGACGTCTTCTAGGGGTTTTATATCGTTTACCATACTTTGATCATTTTTGTCCTACTCCACATCAAGCATGGCTAATTCATGGTGGCGCAGTGGTAAAATCTCCTGCCTTGAACTCAGAAGATCACAGGTTCAAGCCCCAGTTAGTGACCTTTCTGTGGAATCTTGATCTTGTTTTTGCCTTATGACACTTATGCCATTTGACATTTTCATGCCTTATTATATTATGACGTTTTATGGAGTTTTTATGCCTTAGTATATGCTGACGTTTCATGCCTTACTATCCTATGACGTTTTTTGGCATTTTTATGCCTTAGTATATGATGACATTTTTTAACTTTTTTATGCCTTACTATACTATGGCGTTTTTTTGACATTTCTATGCCTTACTATACTATAACGTTTTTTGGCGTTTTTATGCTTTACTATATGGTGAAGTTTTTTTGGAATTGTTATGCCTTACTATACTGTGAAGTTTTATGCATTATTGTAGTATGATGTTTCATGTCTTGCTTTCCTATGAAGATTTTTGACATTTTTATGCCTTATTATAGTATGATGTTTTATGCATTATTATACTATGACGTCTTCTATGGGTTTTATATCGTTTACCATACTTTGCTTGTTTTTGTCCTATTCCACATCAACAGGGGTTAAGTCATGGTGGCGCAGTGGATAAATCTCCTGTCTTACACTCAGCAGATCACAGGTTCAAACTCCCGTTAGTGACCATTGCCATTTTTATGCCTTACTTTACTATGACGTTTTTTGCCATTTTTTATGCCTCATTATGACATTTTTTTTACATTTTTATGCCTTACTATACTATGATGTTTTTTTTGCTTTTTGTCCTACACCACATCAACAGGGGTTAAGTCATTGTGGCACAGTGGTTAAATCTCCTGCCTAAGGTGAAGAGAGTACAGTATAAAATGTACAGCAGAAGAAAACTAATGTCTTTTCAGAACATTAAAGCATGTAAATCTTTTTTAGTCGACACCAAGAATGAAATGATTAACACTTAAAATGGCCATAAAAGGTCCTCTTTAATGTTGAGACCAAACCTAATGCCAGTATATTGTGAGTGCACTGCAACAGCAATCTTACATTGTGCAACAGTGGTTACCAAGAGTCTAAGAGATCTTAAAGCTAACCAAAGGTACCCAGAAAAGGTGGTGTTAGAGGCCACTGAAATGTTTGTGTCTGTGTGTAAGTATAAGTGTACGTGCACACTTTTAGCTTATGTGGTCACCATTTTAGGCAGCTCAGCAGCGGTGGAAGGAAGCACCTCCGCTTTACTATATATAAATAATTCACCTTCAACTGATGGCTTCCTGTACAAGCTTGAATATCATTGAAGTACATTCTCTCATTTTCTAACACAAACATATGAATCAACAACAGTCAACAACCAGCAAAGAATCTTCACTTCATAACTTGTATTTTTCCAACAATGTAATTAGTGCAGATGAATAAGTCTGGTCATTTTTAATATCTTCTATTTTAATGTTTAATGTGTGTTATCAAAAATACCTTTCACTTACCCACCCCTTCTGGCCTCCTCTCTGTCACACACACACACCTCTTTGCCTATTTTCAGTGTGAGCACGAACACACACACACACACACACACACACACACACACACACCTTATAATTTTCCAAATATCTGAGATTGAATCCATCTTCAGTTTGAGGTCCAAAATTGACCTAACCCTAAGTGAGAACACTCGTCTTCTTTTCGGTTTCCTTAGCTGTTACCATTCCAGCAGCACTTTGACACTGCAAAATCCACAAATTGCAACTGTTGCAATTAGTTTTAATCTTTAGTCTAAGAATCTGCAAATAGACTACATTAGAAACAACCAATAAACCACTTCCCCTCCAAGTAACTGTACATCACACACATTTCAGTATCTCTGTCAAATGCTGGTATAGTAAAAGCTTAGGTGCAATGTCATAAAAAACAGAGAAGGGAGAAAACGGCAAATGACATTTCAGCTGCCACTTTCGTCAAGGAAATGGAGCTGAAATTAGATACTTAAATTTCTGTCTGCTTGTCCACCTTTACCTTTGTCCCTCCTTTTTCTATAGTTTCCTGCTTCTTTGTATAGTAATAAAGTTATCATGCTGTGGGACACAGACCACAGTAAACTTTTGGTTGCGCAATGGCTTCATCAATTATTCATCAGTCAGGATGTTTTGTTCCACCACTGGGAAGGAGGAGGTCAGACCAGACCGTCCACAACAACATGACACAGCAGAGGAGAAGAAGAGGAGTCATTCACTGTAACAACAGGGTGTCAAATATTTGCAAACACTTGGGAAAGCAAAGCATGTTTTGGACCACAGCATCCATCTTTTTTTCCTCCTGGACTGAAGTCTATGAGCAATGTTATATAGAATATTTGTACACAAAGGAGGCCATTCTTCCGCCACAGCAGAGACACACAGCCACATGCTCGTAAACCTCTGCACAGTACAACACAAGAGGCCATTGACAGAGAGGAATAGAGACACAGAGGAAGAGTTTACAGTCATGAGACTCGGATAATAGTGCTTTATCTTCTCTACCTAAAGTGAGATTTTACTTGTTTTTCTTTTTGCATGCACTCATTTATTCCATGTTTTTAGTCCAAAAAGCAATTCTGCATTTTACCTTTTTGACACATTCAGTCCCTGCAGAGAAACACAGATGCTTTCTTTTTCTCTGAAAAAGATGAAAGTATTTGATTCCAACTTTCCCATTTGTCATGCTGTTGTTTTAAACTTTTAAAATCCAGTTCATTTTTATGTAAAATTTGAAAAAAAAAAAAAATAGCTTACTATTCTATCAAACAGCATCTAATGTGTTTGAAAGTTTAGCCTTAAATACACTTCTCAATGTCACTAATAATGTTTTAAACAGCAAATACAAAAGTTTGTTGTAAGAATTTAGTAAACAGTGTTGATTTCAGATGTCACAATCCCTTTACTCATCATGTAATACTGCATAGTATGTGAGCCTGCCAGTGGTTCAAGCAATGACATCACTTTACTACAAATTTAGCAAGAGAGTCCCACCCATTACTTACACAAGAGTGATGTGGAGTAAGACATTCTACCAAAAATGGTCACAAACTATGTTTTCTATCAGGTTAAACTGACTTTATTTTTGCACAACTTCCTGTTTCTGGCACAGATGTTACCAAAGGAAACTGTCAATGAAACCTGATAGAAAGCATAGTTGGTGACCATAATGTTTTATCAGCTGAACATATGGAACATGACATGTCTGACTATACTGACAGCTTCCCATTTCCCCTAACTGTACTTAAGTCTCATAAGTTGCAGCTGAACAATGAATTGCAAATGAATTAACTCAAAACTAAATCTGTGAAGTTGTGGTCTGTAGACCGAAAAATAACCGAAAAATAAGGTATTATATGTTAAAAAGGTGTAGGTTGAAAAACAGTGGGCCCATCCTTTTATTCATGGCTCCTTCAAATTTGGTTGTCGCAGTAAGCCATGCCAGTGAGTAAGCATTTATTAAATGTTCATATTTTCTTATAAATGCTAAATAGACAGGGGTTAAAGTAAAGTGTTGTCAATTGTTCAAAATGTTTGTTAGTAAAGTGTAAACCTGTTTTGCACTAGTGGTCAAACCACTGGAGGAGGATTTTTACAGAAAAGAGAAAAAAAAGTAATGGTTTCTTTCAGCTGGGTAATATATCAACTACTTTAACTTAATTTACATGGATTGAAGTCAGTGATCAATGTCTTGCCTTCACTCTGGATACAGTTCCAGTTCTATTAAAATCATAAACTGTAATGGCCCAATCTTGGCATCTATGCATAATAGAAATTATTCTACAATCTTAAGACATAATAGTCCCATCTTAACATCTGTGCGCTCATTGCCACTCATTTTGGGGGCTCTCATTATTGATTAGCTGAGCCTGATTAGCGGTCAAGTTGCGACTGCAACGGGCAGTTGGCCAGGAAACATTTGTGACACACATATTCACAGGCACATTATTCAGCACAAAAGACAAATATGGGTTATGTAATATACACTTAGAGAGGAAGTGAACTTCGGCCAATGACAAAATGATTTCACACAGTCAACCATAACAAAAGAGTGACACATACTGTAGTTAGGCAGAAACAGAGGTAGGCGTACATTATGACAAAAGTCCGACGGTAGGGCAGAAAGAAATGAGGACACACAAGGAGCTGAAGGACGACAGCAAAGGACAGTTTTCCTCCCTTGATGAACAGCTATTCTGACATACCATCTATCTGCCAAGCTACCTAATGAGGAGTCGTACAATCTGACTTGCTGGATAATTGGGCTGGACAATGGTGGTGGTAATGTCAATAGTAATGGTGCTGTTGTTTAGCTCAAACATAAACAGAAATGTAGGAGTAGTTAAATGCTCTATTTGCTTATTTCCCAAAATGTTGGAACTATTCCTTGGAGGCTGCAAAGTAGACTGTGAGATGAGGCCTCCTTAACCTTCCTCTATGACTCCCTATCTTGGATGTGGTCAGCTGCTTCACTCAAGAATGCTGGTAATGATAAATGGATGATTCTGTTTTCCTGCTGACTGTTCATTCAATGCTGCACAGGAGGTGCTGTGTAAGACACAGACAATTACTTGTTTCCCCAAGTAAGTAAGAAGTATAATGTGTTATGTAACTGTATAGAGACACATTTAATTCTTACCTGCCGAGTAGGGCTCCTGCTTCTCCACACACAGAAACTCCTCCCTCTCATACTTGGCTCGGATCCATTGTTCCCGCAGGAGCCTGCAGAACAGTCGGAGTTAGATTTGCCTGGGTTTGATGTTTACTTCATGCTTGAGCTGATTTGTTGGAAAACCTCTCATTAACTTACAGACTGCGGGCTACTTTTCATGCAAACTCTGAACAGAAGCAATCAAATATTACTTGGCTCATCATCTCATAATTATCACTTGTGTCTCCCTTATCCTCCATCTTTCATGTTCATGATACTGATTATACAGCTCATGCTGCCGTTTTATCTCTCATCCATCTTTATCAAGTAAATTTCGCTGGACTCTCCCTGTTCGCTTGATAATTATCCTTAACATTCACAAAGCATTGCTCATAAACTTGCGCCTTGCATGTTTGTGCATCTTCAGCGTGATTCCCACCAAGGTGGCTCATTTCAACATGCTTTTTCAAATGTCACTTTCAACAAATCAGCAGCAGTCCTTAAAGTCATCGCTTTGCACATCTCTTCCAAGTGCGCCAAGCCCTTCATGCTTAATGGATTTGTCTTTTTCTCTCTTTATTTTCCCTCTTGACAAATCACCCCTTATAAACACAATGCAGGTCCATTTGAAGAATAACTTCACAGCTTAGTGTTTTGTCATTGCCTGTTATTTATGTTGCCAGACGGTTAAGGAGAACCCCTCCTACTGAACTGTTGCTTCCTGTTCGAACTACAGGAACTTGGCAATCTCATAACAGAGGAGTTTCCACATGCCAGCATGACTACCAAAACCTGTTGTTGCCTCTTGTTAATACATCCATTTATGGAACAATAATTTCAATTTTAAAGATGCTATCAGTATTATGTTATCTTTTTGCAAAGAAATAACCACAAAACATCCGTTGAGGTTGGCAATGTTGCTTGATGACATACAAACTGCAGTACTGATGCGGAGTGAATTTTCTTTGAAATGTATGAAGTAACTACTTCATAAATGAACTAACAGGCAATTAAGTCACCTAACACTGACACCTTTACCATTTGAACAAATCTGGTTCTCATTATTTCATCCTGAACTACCCATTAGTATGATAACCTTCATTTCCATGCCTGTTCAAAATCAAGACAAAAACAACATGACAGAAAAATTTTCTACAGTATCCATCTGTGCTACACATTTGCACTCACCCATCCATCTTACATTTAGAGGTGTACACCTGAACAAAAGAGGCACTAACACCTTGATCAGATATTAGTAAGGGTGGAGGACAACAATACTTACGTGCAGTCTTTGTATGTGGGATGGTAATAGAAGGTAGGAACTATCTGTTCGTATTTGGCCTTGGCAGCATAATTACCTACAGAATCCATAAACTGCAAAGGTAAAAAAGAAACACATTTGATGTTTGTAAGTGATATCTATGTGCAACCAGTAGCTTAATGGCTATGAGTGCATGAATGTATTGGCTTGACATACACGCTTAAATAAAATGAAGTGCTTGCAGCTCAGTGTTTATGGGGCTGATTCCTTGCCCAGAGGGAGACAATACTGCTGCCACAGAAAGCTGCTTCTTTTGGGTTTCTGTATTTAACGCAGAGGATACTACTGAGCATGCATCAACATATAACTGAGAAACTATAGATCACACATGCAGACACGCAAAGAAAGAAAAAGAAAAAAAAGGCGATGCAAGACACCCACCACAAACCATTTTGTTGTGCATATTAACACAAGCAAACCAAAGCGGACATACATTGACTGATATGGATGTGTGAAAACATTTCATTTTGCACTGTGAAAGTCTGAATGCCCCAGGATTCAGCAAGCACCCACAAACACACATACACACATATACAAAGATATTGTTTGTATCTGCCAGCTGCTGGCTCATGTCTTTCAGGCCATGGTGAATTGAGACTGATGACTTGTCTTATTCTTCCAAGCAGGGAGGCAGGGGCTCAGCGACAGGCAGATAGTGATGCTCACAGTGGAGCAGGGTGGGCTGGGTGAGGCCAGAGGCTGCAGACATTACTTCAAGCCAAGTCTTAGATCATAATCAATGATCTTCTCTTACAAAAGACAGGGCTTTCTGTTCAGGGTGTGTATGAATAAAATCCTTCAGACAGTAGTTCTCACCTCCACTTCAGAGGAGCTCCAGGGATCCAGCAGGACAGACTTCACCTTGCTGATCTGTGCAATGTTTCTATGGAGGCCAGAGCAGCTGTGACACACAAACACACCCAGGGTATAGGATGCCCACTCCGGGTCTGCAATGCAACAAACAGACTCATGTATAGATATCGCAACACATATACAAATACACACAAAAACCACTTTATGGTCTAAATAACTGAACACACTGTAACATTTCTCAACTTCCTTGCAACAGACACTGAGGGCTCAGCTGTATTTGAAGCAGATTGACCAGAGTGAGGAGCAGACAGCCATTGCACTGGGGAAATGAGTTTCACGTCACATGTATGCTCACATTAATGCACACAGGAAGTAGGTGCAGTGAACTCATCTCCAGGATCTATATTTAAAAACAGTCCAAAAAGAATGATAATAAAACCCTAGCAATGAATTTATGTTCTTGTGAGCATGACCTGGGTGTCTCAGTGGGGTGGCAGTAGTGAGGGACTAGACTCGGCAGCACAGATGGCTCACCTTGAATCACCCACAGCAGAGTAGTGCTGCTCATTTACAAAACAGGCCACATTTATTTAACTTACTTACTGCAATAAAGATTAAGAAATAGTGAACTGTCTTCAAATTCATTTTGGGTTGAATAAAGGTCGAGTTTTATCTTTTATCAGAGGCAGACACATTATTGTACCTATATTGTAAGTACATACAATTACATTTAGGTTTTGAATGAACATTTCTATTAATATTGTAAATTCACACATACATCTGCTGCATATTATGTGTCTGTACAGTTAACAGCCTGAGTAGCATTTTTTTTGCATTCAACAAGAGTTACTACTACTTCCAACACCTCTGTGCTCCAACAAAACACATGTTCAAGACCATAAACTGAAAAAAACCCCACTTTCGTTATGCATCACCCAGTTAGTGTTTCAGTGCTCATGACCTTTTGCTGTGACAAGCTCAGAACATTAAAGTTGAAACATTACTTTGAAGGAGACAAGCATGGAAAGAGTATCAATTTCATAGAATTTCACAATTTTGTTTCTTTTTTTAAAGCCAAGGAGTAAATAAAAAAAAAATTTGTCATGACAAGATACTGTAAACTAATCCATTCAAATTCAGGTCTGTGAAAAAACACAGAACAGCAATGGTGTGAATAGCTGTGCAGGCACAGGCGCGCACACACACACACACACACACACACACAAAATTAAAAATCTCATTTTCAGAATCATTACTCTGATGCATGGTGAGATCACAGCTGATATGGTGGTTATTTTGTAGGTGAACCAAAGAACTAGAGCAGAGTGAAGTAGACTGTATTAGTGAGCTTCAGTCCTTCAACCACTGCTAATAACAACTAAGGGGAAAATGGTCCCTCCTCACACAAACACAAAGTAAAAATAGCATTAGGAGAAAAAAAAATTACTTCCTTGTACATAATCTAAAAGCTGCACACAAGTAACACTGTGCATCTGTACAAAAGAGACAAGAGTATGATGTGTAGTTAACCACTCCCATTCCCTCTGTATTATGAAGCCAGTGTTGAATGTAGGATCCAAATAAACAGACAGCCAAGCAGATAGAGGGTGAATACACATTTAACAAGGAGGACAAATTGAACAGGGTCAGCATTTCTCATCAAGATATGTGTACGGGAATCCTTTGAAAGACCTGAATGAATGGAACTGAGAGCTGATGTTTATTTTATTGGCATTTGATAGGAAACTCATGTATTTATGGGCTCATCATATTTCACACTGGAACCCCAATTCTTCTTGAATATTAAGAAAACCTTGCACATATGCCAAATAAGGCAAAATACATTCAACACCTTATTCTAGACCTCTCTGACCTTCACTCAGGATAGATGAGCCTTATTTTACAAACCACACCTGTTTGCACATGGCCCTGTACTGAACTGCAGATTTGATAAGTGCAAACCAACTAGGTGTGACAAGGAGGGTGTGTGAGCATACATAGGGTATGTGTATGTTGAATGAAATCAACCACAAGATGAATCATCTTTGGCATCATTTTGTAAAGCTTTTTTTTTTTTTAACTACAACTGAGTTCGAAGTTGAAATAAACACTAGGTCTACAAATGTTGCTTATTTAAGTGACAAGTGATAGAAGCCTGGAAATACAGCTGGTTTAAAGGGGCTTATTCATTACTTAGTTGCTCTTTTATAAAAAAAAATACTGACTCCTCCTGTCTAAGGATCTTCATTATGTCAACCGTTATATTTCATGACCATGCCTAGACCACATCGTGACTGTCTGAGAAGAGAAACTAAACGACTTGCGCAAAAAGAACTTGGGGCACACTGTGAAATTGCAAAGTAGTGTATGGTTAATTACTTGCAGGAATAACAAATAGTAGAGTAGGTTAGTCATATAATATATAAACAAACTGATATAAGTTGTAAGAAGTGAGGTCACTAAAACGTGTCCAGCATCTGTCAGTGACTCCCCTCCAGCCTACCTGCAGCCCCACAGTCGGCACAGTTTCCATTTCCAGGTTTCCCCGAAAGCTGTTTCATAAGCCGCCTGTTCTTTTCTTGATCCGAAGCCATAATGTCAATGGTGAATCTGCTCGGATGCCTTCTCAGCGGCTGTAAACCTCAAACTCTCATCCCATCGAAAGTAAAAATTGCCGTCGGACACACTGGATTCTGGGTGTAGAAAAGTGCGTCGTAACGAGCCTAAACTACTAATGAGAGGGCTGTAATTTTAGATGGAGGGTGACTGAACAGTGAGGCATGGTCAGCTTAATGTTGATGCTACACAAACATAAATGCATGTAACTCGTCTCTCCGTCTTCCTCTGGAGTGAGACCCCCAGCGGTCATTATGGTGGAATGAAAACGCGCTCACGACACTCCCAGACAGCGAATACACCCAAACATATGCCCTCTTTCACCAATTCTGTGTCTGGAAATATAGAATTAGACGCGGCTGGAATAGATATATAAAATATATATTATAAGCTATAAGGCAAGCCCTGTTTACAGCAAAGTATAGGCCTACTTATATCATGTATACTTTTCCCTTGACATACTCTGAGCCCTAGTCGAAAATTTACAAATAGTGCGACCTATGAAATTCAACGAGCCACAAACCAAACCCCCGAAAAATCTTAAATTAAAAAATAATAATTATAACTCTATCCTTTGTGGTCTGGTGCCGGTTAAGTAACTGTGGTGAACATTGTTACTAAATTCCATTCATTTTTGCCTGAAACAGTAATCCAATTCACTTAAACAAAAAAGAAAGACAGAAATTTCACACAGGTGTTTTCAGTTGTGGTTGATTAGCCCCCGTGCTCAGGTTGAAGGTTGGCGAGGCTATGTTGTCATTTACGTGAGGTTACCGAGGTTACTAGGCTGCAGCCATTTAGAAGGGCAGAATTTGCCCCGTCCTAACAGGTGCAACAAAGACAACAGGGGAGTACGGGAGACCATGCCCACACAAACCGTAAGAAGCTCTCTAATCAGTCAAAATGATTTTCATCAATACTACAGAGGACATGACCCCGGAGAACTAAGATGTATCTGTGTGGCTCAGGGGTGAACACGTCTGTGTGTAAATAACCACAGCTGAGTCTAACAATCCTTATTATTTAAAGGGTTTGAGAATTATTTTCTATGTTGTGTTCCTGTCAGTATGAACATCATTTACAGTGCGTTTCTTCAGCGAATTTATAACCATGTATCTTCAGTAATTATAGCTTTCCAGCTCCCTTATATTTTGCGCTAAATGTTCATATAGTCCTGCCTGTCCAAAACATGTTCCTAGAAGTTAGTTAAAAAAATAATGATTTATACCATTTCTCTGAATCTATTTCTATTCCCAGTAAATGAGGCTTAGGATGAGGAATGTGCTGTTAGAGCTGCAGCGAGGCAGCAATCTGCAGCACTCTAGTGTTACTCTCTATAAAAGCACACACATTAATGCACATCAAAAGCCTAATGAGTAAATGTACCAGGGGTTGTTGCTGAGCTGTGGGCACACTGCTGTTTATTTTTGGCTCTCCATATTCATTTGAACATATGGCAGAAAGAATGAACATTAACATGTTATCCAAGTATTGTGTAAGGTTATGTTAAGAAAACAGATCAGGCAGGCACTGTGCCAAGAAGGTTAACAGCAAAGACCCTTCAGATTCTCAACATGACTTTTACAAACTGAACTCTGATGTTTCAGCACATTTATTTGTCAAAATGTCTAAAAATTCAGTACATGGTAAAAAGAAGATACACTTAAAAAGAAATATTTGTAGATCTCAGTAGAACCTAAACTCAGCCTAAAACAAAACTGACCCAGCTTTGTAGGATTAACACAAAATATAAAAAGAAACTCACACTTGCCAAAAACAAACAAAAAAAAAAAACATGTCCACTTCCTACATGCAGGCAGATGTTTATGTTGGCTACAAATCAGATGATTTTATTTCTGGTGAGTCCATAAGGTCTGTCAGAGCAGGTATCCGGGTGATCTGGTGTCAGAGAACCTAAATGATCACTTGGCATCCGGAGGCAGGAAACCCATCTATCTGGAGGAGTTGGAGCTGGAACGAGAGCGGTGACGCCTGCGACCAGGAGATCTGGAGCGAGAGCGGCGCCGTGCTGGGGACCGTCTCCTTGGGGAGCGGGACCTGCGAGGACATGAAAAGAAAACACTTGTGGTTTGGAAGCAGAAAGACTGAGCATACTTAAAGGTCTTTAGGGCTGGGACGATTATCCGACGTAATCGACGTTGTCGATTATAAAAATTATTCGACGTGGAATTTTAGTGTCGACACGTCGTGTAAAACCACACAGGGTAAATGTTCATAGAACAAAACCGGAACTTTCTAATGGGACCGTTTATATTACATCGTCTTTGGTTTACATGGATACAAGCGCAGCGCAAGGGCTGGGACAACGCGGTGACATAATTGAAGTCATTGACTACGTGAATGATTTGCGTCTGTGTAATCTATTTGAACAACATTGCGGCGTCTACCAGCAGTACGACGGAGCATGTGGAGCAACACGCGGCAAAAAAGGCTCGCACACTACTCGCAAATTACTGTTAGGTTAATAAAAAATAATAATGGCTAGATTAGTCGAATAATCGAAAAAATAATTGCTAGATTAATCGTTTAAAGAATAATCGTTTGGGACAGCCTTAAAGGTCTTAACAAAAGATCATAAAAGATATATTCACACCACAATAGTAAAAATCAGGTATAGATAGACATTGTCCCTGACTCAAAGTCATTCAAAGTCAAATATATTTGGAAAATTAAGTTGCAAGACTGACCTTCTCCTCATGCGCGGTGGGCTGCGACGCCACATAGGTGGTGGTGGGGGCATTCGGCGAGGTGGAGAAGGTCTACGAGGTGGAGGACGGACTCGCTGAGTCAGCACAGCAGATGCAGAAATTTCCTGTCCGTCAATCTGACCTATTAATAAAGGTGTCACAGAAAGTTAATAAACACGAATGCCCAGAGTAATCCTGTGAGACAGAGACACTGAAACATACACTCGGGCCTACCTCCATCCATGTGTTTGAGGGCCTTCTGGGCCTCCTCTGGAGTCTCAAACTCTACGTAAGCGTAACCTCTGGACATGTGTGGGTGGAGCCTGTCCATTGGCATTTCAACCATTTTTATTTTCCCATAAGTGGAAAAGATCTCCTGGATGTGGTCCTGTGCAAATAAGACAGAGTACACTTTTGAGAAATGTGGAAACAAAATCCATGATTATCTGTGGCCATCAAAATCCATTTATTAGATCACAATGGCAACATGTCAAAAATTATCTTATTGTTCTACTTTTATATATTTTATCATTCTGATTCTACAATGCCAAATGTTATTTTCTACCTAGCATGGTGTTTCTGTTGTAGTGTCATTATATTAAATTATGATTACACCTGTGAACCTTCAAATCAAGACTAGCAGCTTGAAGGCAGCTGAGTGGACTCTTATCTTTCCTCAGCTATAAAATGTGTAACCATTTCACTGCTGACCTTGGTGACATTCCTGGTCAGCCGCCCCAGGTGAACTTTAGTTGGCTTGGGGCTTGGACTTCTTTTCCTTCGTTCCTTATCATCTCCCCTCTTCTGTGTTTTGGACCTATAGAGTCACAAACAAAACATAGATTAACTTCATCCTGATTTAAACAGGCAAAAATGTCAATGCATTAGAAAAAGTGATTTACGCTGAGCGTGAGCGGCGGCGGTTGTCATGGCGTCGGCGGCTGGGGCTTGGGGAACCCGAGGAGCTGGAAGAGGAGGAGGAACGCGAGCTGGAGGAACCAGAGCGACTGGAACCGGATGAGCTGGATCCACTTGATGACCCGGAGCTGGAACCAGAGCTGCTGCTTGAGGTAGAGCTAGATCTGGATCTGGTAATTTTCAAAAACAAAGAAAAACATGTTTTATTACGAAATGTATAACATTAAGAATGATAAGGTTTCTAAAATAAATACAAATAAAGAGGTGATTTAGTGTAACAAACCTGCTGCTGCTGCTGCCAGTGGAAGCACTGCGGCGTTTCCTTACTTTCTCTCGTCCTCTTTCCTTGTCTCCATCCTTAGTACCACTTTTTTCTTTGCCTCTATCTTTTGTTTTTTCTTCCTCCTTCCGCTTTGTGGGTGATGGTGCCCTACAGTCGGAGGCAAAGTGCTGTTACTTTGAGACCATTTACAAGATTATGACTTTTCTGACTATTTGGTTAGTCTGTAAAATCAGAAAGCAGTGACAAACATATCTTCAAATTGCCATTTTGTCTGACAAACTTTCCAAAACCCAAAGATATTAAAACTACAGTGATACGTATCAAGCAAATTCAAACTTTGAGAACCAACAATAAATGGAATTTTTGGCTGATGAGTGACTGAAAAGATTAATCGATTAAAAAGTGGTCAGCCATCAATTTTCTGTCAACCATGCAAGTACTGTTTCAGATCTTAACTAAGTACAACTGTTTCTTCAACGCATGAAGAGTAAGCGGCCGAAGAAAGTGTAAAGTTCGTGTTTAAGGTGGAAACAGACCGTAATACGAAACGATACTGACCAAATGCTGTTATCATTGAAATATCTCAACCCTCTTAACTTTACGGCCAACAGCAGAAATCCGCCGCCATTGATTTTCAATCTAAACAAGCCGTTAAATGGGGCAACTGTTTATCGATAAATGCTCTCTTTGTGAAGTGCATACACGGTCAAAAAACGTGACGCATTTTTTCGTATGTGATAACCCTCATAATGCAATTGAAACGAGCTTAAGAGTGGTCCAATAAAGGGCTAAACTTACATTTCTTTCAAACGAGGTGATTTCGCTTCGAACACTTGCGGCCTGACAAAAAGTCCCTTGGTGATGACGACAAAGCGGATGTTACGTATGAACCTGAGCGCCACTTACAACTCATTTGTTTGTTTTCGTTGTCGATAATAAAAAAAGAAATGCGTGTTTGTGTGCATATGATTAGATCGTAGCTATGCAAAGACGAAATGCATCATCATGGTACGTTAATTGATTTAACTGAATAGGAAACAATAATCTATCATCCCTCTTGTCGACGAGGTTTGACAAGGTGAGCCCTTCACTTTATTAATGGTTCTAGTGCTAGCTGTTGTCGTTAGCCAGCAACATCTCTGACTTTACGATAGGTGAACTTAATACCGATGTATTCTTGCCACTTCAATGAAAAGTATTTGCAGCAATTTCCAATGTACTTTAATCTATAGCTAGGACAGACTAACGTTAGTTTATGGCATATTTACATATGGATTTATTTAAAGACGCTGGGTACTCCTGGTTGGTCCACGTAAATCTAAAACTAGTTTTTATTCTACAACAAATATATTTATAATAACTACCTCGCTTTGTTACTGATTTATAAAGTAAAATGTGCTGTGACAGATAAAACAAGAAGTCGTTGATATCTTTTTTTTTTTTCATGTGTGGGTCTCTAGATTTTATTCTTATATTATAATACCTGTCTCATCCCAACCATAAAAGCCTCAAATGATGACAGGAAATTTAAACTAGGCGCCAGAAAAATAAAATAAAATAAAATAAAATCCATCCTTGTATCATGGAAAAAATGTTAAAACCTTAAAAGGGTCTCTTAAGAAACTAAGCAGATTTTGTTAATGATTCCAGCAATGTATTGCTGGTATTTTCACATACAAGAATAAAAATTAGTCATCTCTTTTTATCTATCATTAGTAAACATACAACAAGTGTCAGTTGCATTTTTTTTTTGTATGAATCTTCTAGAGATTAACAGCCTAACTCACAGAGCTGCTGTGGTTTGAGAGGCCATGGGCCGGCTGGATGATGCCGCCAAACACAAAGTGGTGGAGCTGCGGAAAGCTGGTCTGAGTTTCCGCAAGATCAAAGCTGTGCTGGAGCTGGAGAACATCAAGGTGTCTGCACAAGCCATCTACCTGTTCCTGAGGGAGTTCCAAGGGAGGCCGCCAGGGAGGGTCAGACCTGTGGAGGCTGGAAGCAGCAAAACAACAGCACAGGTGCAAGCTCGAGGCGGGGCAATACAAGAGAACTGGAGTAACATTCATCTCCAAAACCTAATACGGGAGGCATCTCACCATGCTGGCTTTACAGCTGCTGCAGACTTTGCCAAGCAAGCGTCCACAAATCCAGAGGCTAGTGTGAAGCCATCTGGGTATGGGGAGACCAGTGGAGGCAGCAGGCCAGAACAGCAACACGAGGGAGATAAGGAAGAAAATGACATCCAGATTGTTAGCGTCACCTCCCTTGCACAAAACAGTCAACAAAGAGGTCCCCAATCCACTGTAACAAGGGCAGAGACAGGCGCTGTGTCTTCCACACTAACAGGTACTGGAGCCTTCATGAGGAGGAGAGTCACACCTTCTCCAGCCACCAATTCAATGTTGGCAGCTCGGAAGAGACTTTTGGATAAAGCGCTGTCACACAGGGTGAAGGTACCTACCTTACATTCCCTCCTGCCATGATCTTAATTGTTATATTTGTCATTATTGTAAACAGTTGCACAAAAGCCATGCCAAATACTATAAGCATCAAATTGTTTTTTCAGTCTTAACTTCCATACATTGTTTTTTAACAGTCATACCATCAAATGGCGTCGTTGTTGAGGAGAGATCACCCAAGTGTCCAGGGTTCTGATTTGAGAAGTGTAATGCCTCAGCAGCCTGAAACTTATGATCTGACCACTGAAAAGGTGAGAAAAGAGCAAACCTTAAATGTCATAACTGATCTCAGGATTGACTAAAGTGTGTTGCAGCACTTTATTAAAGATAGACTGTCACTTCTTTAGACCAGCTCACAATACTTAGGTGTTGGGTTACATTTATATGTGTCTTACTGCGTTTACACCAGTAACTGGTTCCAGGTTGTATTCCAGCACAGGTCTTCCATAGTGTATGTCTTCACCTGACAATGGGAGCCTTATCAATTTAACATTCAATCCAAGTTTTGTGTTTATGTAAAATTGCATTATAACTCTCATGACATCTTCTGAATGTTGTGCAGACTGTTTTGGACGGTCAGCCAGGAGGAGGCAGTGCCCCCAGGCGTTTTCTGACACAGAGACCAGGTCTGTCTGTCCATTCCCCTCACCCTCCTCCTCGGGTTGGCATTCGTCTTCCTAATCGGCCACCAGCTCCTTTAACAGCCTCAGCTCCTGGGGGTGCCGTCATTCGCCTTCAGACTCCTGGAGGTCAGGCGGCTACTCGTAGTGAGGGGAACCCAAGCCCTCAGCTGGGAGTCCAGGACGCCGGAGGGAGAAGTGGCCTGCAGGAGCAGATTTACACCTTGGGTTCTGAGGTGCGCAGCTTGGGCCTGGCAGTGAAGATGCTGGTGGAGCAGCAGTGCCGCCTGGAGAGGGAGCAGTCGCAGCAGACACACATTCAGAAGCAGATCCTCAGCACTCTACAGAGCTTCGCCTCCAAACTTGGACACTGTAGCAGTTCTCAACAGCAGCAAAACAAAACTCCATCCCCCTCTGCTTTGCCAACACCTTCTGCATCTACCTCCTTCAGCCAAGACACCTTCAGCTTTAGTCAAGGCACATACACGCAGTGCAGCCAAACCCAACCAAGCTACAACTCTTTAGAGAGTTTAGAAAATGTAGAGGCCTTTAAACTGCCGGGACTGAGCCCTACAAGCATGAATGGGTTTCCACCATGTAGCAATGCTGAGAACCTCCCACTTACTCACACTCCCCCTCAAACACAGCCATATGCAGCTGCATACACACAGCAGAGCAATCAAACACTCATGCCACCTTACACACAATCCTACAATTCTACATACAGCCAGTCACATTCTCAGAGTTTCAGAATATCAGAGAGCAAATCATCTGATTTCCCAAGCAGCTGTTCAGCAAGGACTCTCCAGGACTGCAGTGTTTCCTCTGAACTGCTGATGAACTCCAATTCTGACCAGGATCAACAGATTAATATTATCAAAGTGGAAGCACCATAGAGGACTTCAGTGTTTTGGGACTATAAGGGCTTGGATATTCTTTTTTTAGAGCCTCAGTAGTATACTTATTTAAGACTCGTGTTTTTACAATTAACATATGCTGTAGCATTTTTTAAATTAATTTATTTCCAAATTACATTTTAAGAGAATACAAACAGCAATAGCATAAAGGGATTACAAGACTTTGGTAAAAATGTCATGATTTGGCAGTGATCTTAGATAAAATGATAAATTATGTGCAGGTACTTTGTCATTTTTTTTGTGAAAACCGTTCTTGTTTATTTTGTATCAACCTATTTTGTATCACTAGGACTGGCATTACGAACTGTTACTTTTCATACCTCTATGCTAACTGAAAAAATAATAATAAAGAGTTGGTTATGCACATTCCCATTTCAATGTGTATGGTGGTGAGGGAGAAGTTAACATATTGAGAAGTTTTCCACTAAAACATGTTCCATGATACCTTGTCATAGTTTTGATTTAAATGCGATAAAGTTGTGTATTTAACTTAAACAGTGAGATTAACATATTGACAGTCTACAGCTGAAGCTTACTAAACATGCAGTTCATCTTATTTCCTGCTTCCTTTTTCGTGACCAATCACTGTCAAACATCTCAGTGGGAGATAGCAGTGTCTGTTCAACATTGTTAATCTTTGTCAGACCTGCTGATAGCACAGAGCTCATGAGGTGAAGGACTGAGGGCAAATCCCACAACTGCTGTCAGGTCCAGTTCATCCTCTGTAACTCCAGGTGGTGGAGTGAAACAAAAGTGCTGGAGGAGAGAGGTGAAGAAGAGGAAAAGTTCCATCTTGGCCAGACCCTCTCCAACACAAGACCTTGAACCTGAAACAAATAAAGGAGTGTCATATTTTCGAGTACCTTTTATTTGTCAGATTTCTTGGTGATAATAAACAAACTCATAGATACCTGTAGAGAATGGTAGGAAAGCATCCCTCTTTCTAAAATTCCCTTCCTTATCCAGAAAATGGCCTGGGTTAAAAGTGTAAGCCTTTTCCCACTCATCTTCATCCTGAAGAGCAGATGACAGGAGAATAGCCACTGGAGTCCCCTAAAATATGTAGGGGATGGTGGCACATTTTAGGTTTTATTGTAAAATGTTTGTCATGGTTCCAGAATAACTTAAAACATATCAAACCAATACCTAACATTGAAATTTATATCATTTTTAAATTCAGTCAATACATTTTTAGTTCATGTTCAACTGGTTTGTCCAAGCAACTTTGAATAATAAAATGAAAACAATATATATATATTTATATATAAACAGTATATCAGCACTAGCATATGCAACTGACAATATACATTGAAAATGACATGATATTAGCGCTAGCTGAAAAGTCCAGATTAACAAAGTGACAATTCAACCACTGAGGAACATGAATGTGCACCAAAGTTTATGGCAATCCATCAGAAAGAAATGGAGAGAATCTATTAACAGCTACCTTCTTGATGAAGTAGCCCTGGAAGGTGACATCTCGGGAGGCACAATGTACAAGTACAGGCGTAACATTTGCAAATCTCTGTATTTCATGGATGACAGCATCAGTGTACGGCAGGTTCTTTCTGTCCTCTACTCTGACCTGACGGCTTCCTACCACGCTGGCCAACTCCACCTGGACCTGATCTGGGAGATGAACATTAAGTAAAGGTTGATTAAAATTGTTAAATGAGACAACAGTGGTGGCTGATTACAGTGGAACACCAGTGAAATATGTATCCTCTTGTTTTGAATCTTCTGACTTCATTAAAGAAGGATAAATCTGTGAGGCTAGGTTTTTCTGTGATCAAAGAAAATATCTTAACATTTTAAAATAAAGTAGTTGCACACTGCATATACTCTATATCTCAGTGCCCTGCCATCAGGGACATAAATATCTATTTGTCTGCTGTCTCCCTGTGTCTTTTGCACAACATTGCACTGGTTGAGCTAATAGCAAATTGTTATGTAATAATAGCAAATTATCACAATGCAGTGAGGGTAGTTACACTGACATATCATCTCTGTGTAAGATCTGCAGTAAGTTTGAGACACAATATTTTTACACAAGTAGTGCAGCTCCTTTCAGGAATAGCTCAGTGTGTGTGTGTATGTAGTGAGAGAGAGAGAGAGAGAGAGAGAGAGATCGCGCGGTGAGGCTGGTGACTGAAGCAGAGAGTTAGCTAGTTAGTTAGCAGTTAAGAGTATAGCTGTGAACGTACAGTAGGATATATGTGCACTTTAACCTGTTTCTGCTACAACTACAACAACAGCTACAACTCCTCAAGACCGAAGTTCCCGCCTCTCCCTTGTGCTTCCTATAGTCCAGACTATGAGCCAAGAAAGATTAACAAGAGTGAGGCTGGAAAATGCAGGGTTCTGCATTGTTGCTGGAGTGTGTCATTGTCAATTAATGGTAAATATTTTTGATAGAAGTGATTTTTTGATATTTTTCCTCCATACTGCACATTTGATATGTTTAGTGTCAATTCAGAAGAATAATCCTGACATTTGTTCAGCCAGGAAGGTGAAATATGAAGATGTCTGGGCAGAGCAGCAAGATGCAGGAGAGAGACTTTCAGCACAGGAAAGACAGGCAGCACAAAATCATGTGAAAGGAAAGCCCCTGAATTTAAGAGAGATTTGCTACTACTACTGTCATGAAAAGGTATGTGCCAGTCAGGGGGGGCCTCCGCTCTGCTGCCTATTTGTTAAAGTCACCGCACGCCACTGCTATAGCTTAAAGCAGTGAACTGAAAATTTTGGTTGGTGTAGGTTTGTGGGGATGGCTACCTTACTGTGAACTGTTGGGCCTAAACCTAATGAAGGGTGAGAGATGGAGTCACACCAAGCCTATTCAAACAAGACTTTCATATGGTAAGCCCTCCATTACATAGCCCTCAGTTATTAAGCATGTGTCATTTCTTACCTTGTATTTCTGGGTACTTGGCCATGAGCAGTAAGCCATATCTTAGAGTAGATGATGTAGTGTCAGTGCCAGCAGTAAACAGGTTGACAACAGACACCAAAAGGTTGTCTTCGTAATAATGAGAATTCATATTCCCAGATGCCTTACAAGTATTGAAAATAAGTGTCAGTGATAAAATTACTTTTGAAAGGAGTAGTTTTATATTCAACAACCATAGACAGCACTGTTAACGTTGTGTGAGCCACTAAAAAGGCAGCTCCACGTTCTCTTGGTTCATTCAACAATTTCCTCATCATCATAATCTTTAAAATCTGTAACACGATGTATGTAATATTTTAATCTCATAGCCCTTTTAGGTTAGTTATTAGAGAGTCAGTCATTATAGTCAATGATAATAACTGTATGTACAATCTTTCCTCTCCTTTCAAACCTGCCTTGGTATCCTAAAAGAAAACTACAACTGATTTGTTTATTTCAGGCAGTGTTTACATCTGTTGTTCCCCGATTTACATACATGACACTTTAATACAAGAAGAAATCTAAAAAGAGACAAATAAATCAATGGGCAACACAGTACAAATAGTTATTTTCCCATATTCCAGGAAACAATTAAATTCATACCTCAAGCTGTGTCTTGCGGACGAGAAAACAATCCACAAAACCTCTGCACATTTGTGGATTAAGGGTCTCCTGTAAACCCTTGATCAACTCTGTCATCTTTTTCCTATTTGCAAATGAACCCTTCATCAGTTGCTTTCGGGCTCCAAGCCATCTGAACAGCCTTGGAAAGATGTTGTATAACTGTTAAACAAACAAACAAAAGAAACAAATCACACTATCTGCTTACTTTAAAGAGGTATTTGTAAGTTTTGCTATTGCTATATAGCCAACATAAGAATTAACTGCTGTTTACTTACGAGTCTAAAAGAAACATTGTGAGTTCAGCATCAACCGTCATTCCTTTACTTGCCAAGAGCTGTGTCCAGCAGTGTAACCCTTTTGTTTTGCTTCTATTTCTGTGACTTCTGCAGCTGTGCTTCAGCTGTGTCTCAGCAGGTAAAACTAGTCAAGGTGAATTGTAAATTTTGTATTCTAAGTGGAAATAGAAGCAGATAAGTCAGGATAATTCTTACGTACCCTCCAAGAGGTGTTCGTCCCATAGTTGAAAAGCTTCCCTTCAGTCTAGGAAGTAATCTATTTCCTTGACTAGTGCTTCGACCATTGTTGTCATTATAATACAACTTCAGTAGAAGAAAAGAGGCAATAGAGGCAAGAGTTAACATTGGAGTTACTTTCCACTTCTGGAAACAGCTCTTGGCGAGTGAGGAAATGTTTTTCTAGACTGGTACATAAACAGATGGCAGAGGCGAAACCTATAAATAACATATCATGTACATATGTAACTATAATATAAGGGTTATGTTATGCTATAACTAATTTCTCCCATCACAGTGTAAGGAAGAAAATAAGTGGGATGGGACTCTTTCCAAATAGTTTTACACAGGGGTTAAAGTGGTTAATTGATGCAACCCCTGTGAAGTAAAGAAGTCTGATTGGCAGTTTCATACATGATGTCACACAAGTTAAGTTACTACTTTTTTCACATATTTGTCAGTTATATCTAAACAGACAGCAAAAGAGATGAGCAGACACACACACACACACACACACACACACATGCAAGAGAGATAATTGTACAGATTATTACAATATAGAGCATTGCAATACGTGTAATGAAGGGGAGCCCATGAGTTGGGTGTTCTTTTTAGCTTGGTCCACAGCAGATCTGAAGTTCTGGTCATCATAATCAAATCTGTTCCCATAGACAAATGAGCAGATAATATTGGAGACAGCGTAGCTCACTGGCTGGGTGGTGTCAAAGGCCTTACCTGAAAAAAAGTTTGTTTGTTATGTTTTGAAATAATTACCCCATATTTAAAAATATCATAAGATAAGATTTGAATATACAATATACTTAATTCAAAACTTGTTAATTCAGGGTTTTGTCATAAAAAGAACTTTTATTTTTGTCTTTGTATCAATGCATTATTACCGTCTTTTTGTCTCAACACATCAATCAGGTATTGACTCTCCTCTATAATTCTCTCTTCATTTTCTCTCTTTCCCATTCCAGATTGTTTTAGGTTAGTCAATGCAAACTGCCTCATCTCTTTCCATGAGTCTCCACTGGCAAAAACAATTCCTGGAGATGACAGGGTTTTACCTTTGAATATATTGTTGGTGGAGGAGTAGGGTTTTCAAGTAGCACAAGACAATAAATATTTTTAAGAAAAATATATTTAAGAAAATTTAAGAAAAATAAATATACAATGAAATAAAAAAAACATATAAATTTTTTTTTATTTAAGTATAAAATGATATAGTATGAATTTTGTTGTTCCTAACCATGTTCTAATTTCAGGTCATTGATAATTGGTAAATTTTCTTTGTCAGTAAATGCGTCATTGTTGACCAGAGCCTGCTTGATCGTCCTGTGTCCAGCCAGCATCACCACTTTTTTGGCTCCAAGGTGGACGGTGAATACTGGTCCGTACTTCTTGTAGAGCTTAAAAGCACACACACACACACACACGACACAGCACCCACACACAACACGCACATATCATTATATAGATATATAGCGTTATATATATATATACAACCTTTCAAAATTATACAAAGTCAAAAGTGTGTCTTTTTTACTGTAAATGTATTCTGCAGCTGTCGCTGGATTTTGTTTGTAAACTTTGCCAGAATATTCATATAATGTCCTTCCATTATAGGTCTTCATAGTTTCTTAGTTTTCTTGGGCAACCACACTTTATATGCCTTTTACTTACCTCATACAGCGTGCTGTGAGGTGACTTAGGATCCAACTGTAGCAAATTACCCAGCAGAGGCAATGGCCAGGGTCCTGGAGGCTCCTTTCTCTGAGGGCCAAAGCTGGGGGAGAATAGATAGAGAATAAACAGGATCGCAAATGTGCCAAGTAGAATGGTTGTATTGGTGGACTGCAGCAAAATATCTTCCACAGCAGCCATTCTTTTACTTGTGATACACTAGTCTGGAACAAGTCTTGGCCGAGGTCTTACTCCTTTGTGTCTGTGCACCAAATGAATATTGTGGATGATGTACAACTTGAACTACGACTTCAGACCTTGGACTTTGGACTATTTTTTTGTTGTTGTTTAACTTCTACCTTTCTCCCTCCTCTTCATTTAATTGTAAAAATGCACAAACAGTTTTACTTGTTCATTTAACATTCATTTATATGTATATAGCCTATGTGTGTATGTATAGAAATATATATATATATATAGACACACACACACACACACATATATATATATATATATATAACATACATTTCAACTGATATTGACTTTTGTCTGTAGGCACTATACTATTATGATGGCTTGTGTTTGAGAGACGTGTACATTGGCTAGAACAGCTCCTTTCTCCTAATGTTACGTTAATGTCAGGTCTGATAGATAGCCCTTTAGCACCATAGGCTATATGTAAGGATGGACGTGGCCTCTATGATGTCACCCATAGGTTTCTGAAGAGTGGTTTCAAAGATCATAGACTGGTGTATGTTGGTTAATGACTGTGGCAAGCATACACTTCTGTAAGTCTGTGACCATTGTTTGCACAGCTCATGTGTCAACATGAGTGAAAGACAAATAAAAACATTGGAGATGCAGTGATAATGTGCAATAACTGTTTTGTAATCATGTCAACTACTGCTCTCTGTGTTCTTGTTTAGTCTGGGGCTCTCACTCACAGTCTGAGAAATGCAGGTCACAAAGATCTCATATTGCTAGACAATGGTTCACTATTTAACTTCTATTATGACCAATTCTGTCCAGAAGGCCCCATTCCTATCCTCAGTAACTGACAAGGATAGACAAGGATGTAGGGTAAATCACTAACTTACACAGGACTGCCAGATCCAGACAGTTCCAGTTCCAAATACTGGTTTCAAGACTTTCAAGACACACAAGGACATGCATTTACAAGCAAATAAAAACATTCAGACACACATTTTTTGGGTATGGTACAAAATGTGATTTAACCTGGGTTACATACGCCTTGTTGGAAAGGACATGACTTTGGTTCGCTTGCTGACATTGTACTGCTCATTGTTTGGCCTGTCAAGCTTTCAATAAATATTTATGCCAACAATATCTGACATCTGAAATCTGGTGATCACCTTCCCTTAGCTCACAAGAATTTCCACCATGAATTGGCCTCATGAATAAGATCTCAACAAAAGAATATGGTAAGTGCACATTTAAAGCTTTTCTTTGCTTTGGCCTTACCATGTCCGTGTTTAGCAAGATCACAAAGAAACGGTGTGAAAGTCCTGCAAATTGGCTGTGAACATCTAAGGCTTAGAACTGAGGGATCAGTGACTGTGGAAAGTCAGCAGTGCTGTGAGTACGGCAGGTCAACCAAAATTGTTAAAAAGTCTGAAGTGAACCAGGAGAAATCAAGTCAACTATGGCATGCTTCGATCGAAAGTGGCTTAAGCTTATACAATTGAAATTTATTAAATATTGATGTCACTGGTTGGGTGATACATTCAGATGAAAAGATTGTGGTGTGTGTGTTCGTGCGTGCGTGTGTGCGTGCGTGCGTGCGTGCGTGCGTGTGAAGTTATTTCAGGGGGTTTGGGTTGTGCCCAGATAAAACCAATAGTGAGATAGAACCAGAAATAGTTCTTGGGCAACTGAAAGAGGCTGACCCTGGTGTAATGAAAACCTGTGGTGCATTTGGGTCCATCGGGAACAGAGGTCCTGTAGTGCTGTTTAACAGAAGAGTGTACACTCACACAAAAAAGATGCATTTTTCATCTTTATAAGAAAACATTTCAAAACTACTACCACTGACGTAGTACTATAGTAAATTAAGAACTGTAGAGATTCAGATGCTGCAGCTGAATCATACAAGTAATAATCAGTCCACAGCAGAGATTAGAAGTGAATATATATATAGAAACAATACATATATATGTATATATATGAACAATTTGGCAAAAGTGATGTCAACACTGTTGCTTTCCTTTCCATAGGCAATTCTTCTTCACTGGCGACTGACAGCACACAGCTCATGAGGTGAAGGGGTCAGGGTGAAGCCCACAACTGGTGTAAGATCCAGTTCATCCTCTGTAACTCCGGGTGGAGGAGTGAAGCGAAAGCGCTGGAGGAGGGAGGTGAAGAAGAGAAAGAGCTCCATTCTGGCCAGACTCTCTCCGGGGCACGCCCTGCGACCTGCGAGAAAAAAGAGTAGCAGATGAGTTGAATGTGATCACATGTGTGCAACCATAAAATATCTGTAATCTCAGAGGAACAAAAGCCAACAAGTTTGTCATACCTGCAGAAAAGGGCATGAAGGCATCTCTCCTGATAAAGTTACCCTCCCCATCCAGGAAGTGGGAAGGGTTGAAAGTGTGTGGACTCTCCCACTCGCTCTCATCATACAGGACAGAAGTAAGAAGAGGAAACACGGTAGTTCCCTGGAGGCAAAAGAAAAAAAGCACCATTTTCAGAGTTTTCACAGATGGAAGAAATTATCCAACAAATCCAAATTAGTGTGGATTTGAACTGATGGGAGAAGGTGACCTCTTTGATGAAGTAGCCCTGGAAGGTGATGTCCTGGCTGGTTTTGTGAGGAATGGCCATGGGAACAATGTTGGCCAGTCTCTGTGACTCATGGATGACAGCGTCTGTGTACGGCAAATTCTTCCTGTCTTCTACTCGGACCTGACGGCTTCCAACCACCCTGCTCAGCTCCTCTTGAACCTGGTCTGGAAGGACATGAAACTGAGATGAAATCTGAGAAATATATAATGACACTTTAACCCTAATCTTATGTGAGCACTGTAAACTGAGAGAAGCCTGTGGATGTATTTTTGCACCTTGAATATGAGGGTACTTGGCCATGAAAAGTAGACACCACTGAAGAGAATTTCCTGTGGTGTCCGTCCCAGCTGCAAACAAATTCATCACACTGTACATCAGGTTGTCATCATGGTAGTGTGAATCCTTAATTCCAGACTCCTAGCATAAAAAATAATTACACTAGAATTAATGCCTCATGGTTGAATGCCTCTGCCAACCAGTCAAGTTGCAGGAAATATAGTCACAATCTCCCCTTTATGAGTTACAGCATTGAATAATGGCCAGAAATATTTTTGTAGAACGTTATGATGTCACAGTGAAGTTAACCTTTCACCATTTGGATATAAAATGTCATCACTTCATCAATATATCCTCCACATTAGCACATGAATTCCTGGGTTTTTGCCAAAAACATGTTTTGTGATGTCACAGAGACCTTGAACTTTGACCTTTAACTACCAAATTCTTATCATTCATCCTTGAGCCCAAGTGAATGTCTGTGCCAGATGTAATGAAATTCCCTCTGGGCGTTCCTGATATATCGTGTTCACGAGAATGGGATGTACGGACGACCAGTATTTGATCAGTATTATCAGTCTAGGAGTGGATTCAGTGGAGTCAGACGCCTCACCTCCAGACTTTGCTTACGGGTCAGGAAAGCATCAACAAAGCATCTGCACATCTCAGGGTTCAGAGTCTCCTTCAGATCTGCTATAATCCTTTTTGCGTCCGCAATACCGTCTTCCACATTCCTCATCAAATCCCTCCAGTTTTTAAGACAAGGGCCCAGCCAAGGGAATATGTTGTAGATCTTTAAAAGTGAACGATAAAAACAATCTAATTATTGTAAGATTAAACTCTTAAATGATCTTAAACCTCTACTGGTCTCATTTAATCAATGTCTTTGTTTGGTTTTTCATTTGGTTTTTATATGGATTTGGAAAAGATTTGGTGGTGTTTTACAGGTCACAAATTCCACTTCATTTTGTTTAAGAAGTCTATATGCAGTTTTATATACAGTACATATATAAATATATACATATACATAAAAAAGCAGTGATCATTAAGTCACTCTGCAGTACCAGGATGGAAACTGATCCCGTCAGATGGATGGTCTCATGATCTCTTTCCACCATAGTCTGGAGGTCAGGGTCTTTGTATTCAAACCTCTTCCCAAACATGAGAGCTGATATAATATTTGAAGATGCATAATTAATTGCCCGGGTGTTGTTGAAGGCTTTACCTGAGAGAAAAAAGGTCACAGATGAGAGTCAGAAAGAACATGTAAATTATTCAAGGGAAAATACATGACTGACACAATACAAGTCTAACTTCACCTAATACCATTGGTAAAACTATGATTATTTTTGACCCAGTGTTGGACTTAAAACTTTCACAAATGTATTGTTAGTTGTACAAAATGAAGTGCATATGATATTCAAAACTAGAATGGCACAGTTCAGCACATACCTCTGCCAAGGCCAAACAATCCTACATGTCTGTCAGGTACAGCTTATCTGGATGAGCAACAAACTGTACATGGTCATAGATCTTAACACCATAAATATGTCTGATTTTTTTTTTACATCAAGAGCCATTATTATACATTACTTCCTGTGAGGAATTGATGAAACTGTCGCCAAAATGCTCTATCTCACAATATTAAGGAAAGTGATTAAAAAAATTGCTGGATCCACCCCTTTAACCAGATCAGCACCAAAAGTTAATGTGTTCTTCCCTGGCCCATGCCCCATCCCTCCACCAAGTTTGGTGCAAATCACTTTGGTAGTTTTTGCTGACAAACAAACAAACCAACCAACAAACAGACACGGGTGAAACATAATATCCTTGGTGGAGGTAATGATAAATGCTACGCATATTATCAACCATCAGTAATGAATAGTTGCATATAAATTAAAAAGAGCTAGAATAGATTCTTTATCATTATTTTACCATATACTGTTTAATTTGGGTAAAAAACAACCCAACAGAAATATTAAAAAAAAACAACAACATTAACACTGGATTAAAACATTCCCTTCGTGACTGGTTTCTACCCAACAGGTACAGTGGGACACAGTGATTTTTTCAGTGTGTATATAAATCCATGCAGTGCTTTAGAGGAGATACTGTTACCTTCATGTTGTTCAAATTCTTCAGTCAGGTAATTACATTCCTCAATGATTTTTCCTTCACTAATCCTCTTGCCCATCCCAAAATCTCTCAGTGTAGTCAGAGCAAAACGTCTCATTTCTTTCCACGAGTCGCCATTGGAAAATAGTATGCCTGAAAACAAATGGTTGACTAGTTTTAACACCAACACAAACAAGTAGCAAAAAAAACCTCTCAAAACATTTTCTTACCGTGTCCTTTGTTGAAATCGTAAAATATGGGAGTGACCTCTCTGTCTCCAAACTCCTCAGCATGGTTGACCAGAGCCTGTTTGACTGTCCTGTATCCTGCCAGGACCACCACCTTCTTAAGTCCAAAGTAGACTGTGAACACCGGTCCATATTTTTTGGACAGCTAAAAACATCAACACAAGTAAAAGTGAGACTCACAATAATAAGAAGAAATTGAATTTACTGACTTTTAAAGAAAACATATTTATGAATGCAAATCAGTCTCCTATCATAGCAATGGAGTAAATTACATTGTTTCAGATACACAAGACATTTCTCACATCAAAAAGAGCGCTGTCGAGTCTCTTCAGATCCACCTGAAGCAGGTTACCAAGCAGGGGAAGATGTTTAGGTCCTGGAGGCTGAGTCCGATTTTCCTGGGAGCTGAAGGTGGAGTAAAGAAGGTGGAGGACCAGCAGGACCACAGTGGCCCCCAGCAGGGAGACTGAAGTGGAGGACTGAAGAAGACCGTCCAACATGATCCTATAGTCACCTGGAAGCTTTCCTTTGACTCTTTTTAGGTGCAAAAATCTTGTAATGTCCTCACAGAGAGTTCAAAGTGTTCCTCAGTCAACTGAAAGGATAGCTGATAAGTTCAACTTCCTGGTGTGTTAACATCTTTTCAAAGACTTTCTGGGTGGGACTGCAGGGTCCCGCCTTCTTTTAAAGAGCCAAAAGCTTTCTACTAGTTGCAACTGATACTTAATTTCTTTTCTAAATGATCATTCCTTAATATATTAGCAGTAGTAGTAGTAAGATTAGTAATAAATTTGGCACTCTAATTAAAGTGATGAACAGGTGACATTAGTTATGTGTTTGACTACATTAATAAATATCTATGACAGCTACATTTGTTAAGTACATTTACAACAAACTGGCACAGGTTTAAAAAACAACTACATTAACAAGGTATCTCTTAAAGCTGGGGTAGGCAATAGTGTTTTCAATGTTTGTTATCAATGGGCAAAAATTCCATAATGACACTTCAGCATATTGTAATGGTAATTGCTCTGAGAGTAAACTAGACATCCGCACCTCCCCTTGACTCTGTTTTCAGACTTTAGAAAATCTAGCCTGTGACAGGAGACTATGGTATTTTCAGAGTGAGAGAGCATTCCCATTGGCTGTTCTACAAATGTTGAAAATGCGTCTGCACTTCCCTTTAGATGGATATGTGTCAGTACTGGTGAAGCATGTCAAGCATTTCATGGAGAGAACTTGTACCTGTGTTGCTTGTGTTGCATGCGTGTATGAAGCATGTGCATTTGCCTGTGAGGGGAGAGCTGCAGGAAGGTGGATGTATTTTCAAATTCTGGGTTTTTTTTTGTTTTGTATTGCTTTTTTTCTGATTATAAGGGCTTATAAACTTAAATTATTCTGATTCTCACCATTGCTCTTTTGTACCTAGTCTGTGTTTTACAGGCATAAATTTGCTCCAAATATGATTTATATTATTGGCACAGTAAAGCAGGTATTGGCAGAAAATGGAAAGGAGCAAGTGGGCATCATCAAGCCTGTGACTGTGGTCTATGCAGTCAATGCTACTCAGAATTTAGTCCCTCCCATGTTTATCTTCTCTGACCAGCCCATGCTGCTAATCCTCAATAACCACAAGTCCCACGTTTCACTAATGTTATTGGATATAGCAAAAAGGAAAGGTATTGTTATGCTCACAATTCCACCCCATACGTCAAATCACCTGACGCTTCTGGACATGTGTTTACAATACATTTAAGTTCTATTACAACAGAGCTTGTGATGGTTGGATGAGATCCAATCCAGGCAAAACAGCCAACATACGCAAAATCACTGGATTTGTGAATGGCGCCTTCAAGGCAGCAATGACACCACGGAATATCTAAGAAAAAACTACATCCAAATGCAGGAGCTACCGTTACATTGGCTTGGTTTAGGACCTTGAGGACAACAAAGCGGGTGCAAGCGTTTCCAGAAGACGCCTGGGGATCACTGGCAGTGAGAAACCTGCCTTTTCATTCAAGGATAATGACAAGGCACCTTTCCCGCTGACTGATGTTCTGTAGAAGATACCTCAACCTCAAAAGATTGGAGGAACTACAAGGAGGGAGCAACAATTGATATTTCCCTACAACAACCTTGATGAATGGATTGTTGAACAATCCTTTTTGATTGTTCAGGGGTCTTGAAACTCTAACCGGGGGTTTGCTCTCACAAGTTCAAAACTGTGAAACTGTTTGTTTACAAAATGATGCCCAGGTTTAAACATAAATAGTCAAGTGGTTAATTTACTCTGAGATGGCTCAACTTGTCTATAAACTCAGATCAACTTATCCCTAACCTGGGGCAAGTTAAACCACAGTAACACTTTTTTGGGAGAAGTCATATTTACAGGACCTTCTTTCATAGATGCATTCTTGTCACTTTATTTGATAGGACAAATCTTCTCCCACTTGTTACCATCAATATGCATTTTAATTTTTATCAGTTGCTGACTTAGATCTCTACACAAAATTCTCACAAAACGTCCCCTCTCACATCATGGGTGAAGACAATTACCACAGCAACAGTTCCCATCCTGTGATGGCATAAAATAACACAATAATCAAGAAGTTCCAGCCATCTTCTTCACTGGCAACTGACAGCGCACAGCTCATGAGGTGAAGGGGTCAGGCTGAAGCCCACAACTGGTGTAAGATCCAGTTCATCCTCTGTAACTCCGGGTGGAGGAGTGAAGCGAAAGCGCTGGAGGAGGGAGGTGAAGAAGAGAAAGAGCTCCATTCTGGCCAGACTCTCTCCAGGGCACGCCCTGCGACCTGCGAGAAAAAAGAGTAGCAGATGAGTTGAATGTGATCACATGTGTGCAACCATAAAATATCTGTAATCTCAGAGGAACAAAAGCCAACAAGTTTGTCATACCTGCAGAAAAGGGCATGAAGGCATCTCTCCTGATAAAGTTACCCTCCCCATCCAGGAAGTGGGAAGGGTTGAAAGTGTGTGGACTCTCCCACTCGCTCTCATCATACAGGACAGAAGTAAGAAGAGGAAACACGGTAGTTCCCTGGAGGCAAAAGAAAAAAAGCACCATTTTCAGAGTTTTCACAGATGGAAGAAATTATCCAACAAATCCAAATTAGTGTGGATTTGAACTGATGGGAGAAGGTGACCTCTTTGATGAAGTAGCCCTGGAAGGTGATGTCCTGGCTGGTTTTGTGAGGAATGGCCATGGGAACAATGTTGGCCAGTCTCTGTGACTCATGGATGACAGCGTCTGTGTACGGCAAATTCTTCCTGTCTTCTACTCGGACCTGACGGCTTCCAACCACCCTGCTCAGCTCCTCTTGAACCTGGTCTGGAAGGACATGAAACTGAGATGAAATCTGAGAAATATATAATGACACTTTAACCCTAATCTTATGTGAGCACTGTAAACTGAGAGAAGCCTGTGGATGTATTTTTGCACCTTGAATATGAGGGTACTTGGCCATGAAAAGTAGACACCACTGAAGAGAATTTCCTGTGGTGTCCGTCCCAGCTGCAAACAAATTCATCACACTGTACATCAGGTTGTCATCATGGTAGTGTGAATCCTTAATTCCAGACTCCTAGCATAAAAAATAATTACACTAGAATTAATGCCTCATGGTTGAATGCCTCTGCCAACCAGTCAAGTTGCAGGAAATATAGTCACAATCTCCCCTTTATGAGTTACAGCATTGAATAATGGCCAGAAATATTTTTGTAGAACGTTATGATGTCACAGTGAAGTTAACCTTTCACCATTTGGATATAAAATGTCATCACTTCATCAATATATCCTCCACATTAGCACATGAATTCCTGGGTTTTTGCCAAAAACATGTTTTGTGATGTCACAGAGACCTTGAACTTTGACCTTTAACTACCAAATTCTTATCATTCATCCTTGAGCCCAAGTGAATGTCTGTGCCAGATGTAATGAAATTCCCTCTGGGCGTTCCTGATATATCGTGTTCACGAGAATGGGATGTACGGACGACCAGTATTTGATCAGTATTATCAGTCTAGGAGTGGATTCAGTGGAGTCGGACGCCTCACCTCCAGACTTTGCTTACGGGTCAGGAAAGCATCAACAAAGCATCTGCACATCTCAGGGTTCAGAGTCTCCTTCAGATCTGCTATAATCCTTTTTGCGTCCGCAATACCGTCTTCCACATTCCTCATCAAATCCCTCCAGTTTTTAAGACAAGGGCCCAGCCAAGGGAATATGTTGTAGATCTTTAAAAGTGAACGATAAAAACAATCTAATTATTGTAAGATTAAACTCTTAAATGATCTTAAACCTCTACTGGTCTCATTTAATCAATGTCTTTGTTTGGTTTTTCATTTGGTTTTTATATGGATTTGGAAAAGATTTGGTGGTGTTTTACAGGTCACAAATTCCACTTCATTTTGTTTAAGAAGTCTATATGCAGTTTTATATACAGTACATATATAAATATATACATATACATAAAAAAGCAGTGATCATTAAGTCACTCTGCAGTACCAGGATGGAAACTGATCCCGTCAGATGGATGGTCTCATGATCTCTTTCCACCATAGTCTGGAGGTCAGGGTCTTTGTATTCAAACCTCTTCCCAAACATGAGAGCTGATATAATATTTGAAGATGCATAATTAATTGCCCGGGTGTTGTTGAAGGCTTTACCTGAGAGAAAAAAGGTCACAGATGAGAGTCAGAAAGAACATGTAAATTATTCAAGGGAAAATACATGACTGACACAATACAAGTCTAACTTCACCTAATACCATTGGTAAAACTATGATTATTTTTGACCCAGTGTTGGACTTAAAACTTTCACAAATGTATTGTTAGTTGTACAAAAAGTGCATATGATATTCAAAACTAGAATGGCACAGTTCAGCACATACCTCTGCCAAGGCCAAACAATCCTACATGTCTGTCAGGTACAGCTTATCTGGATGAGCAACAAACTGTACATGGTCATAGATCTTAACACCATAAATATGTCTGATTTTTTTTTTACATCAAGAGCCATTATTATACATTACTTCCTGTGAGGAATTGATGAAACTGTCGCCAAAATGCTCTATCTCACAATATTAAGGAAAGTGATTAAAAAAATTGCTGGATCCACCCCTTTAACCAGATCAGCACCAAAAGTTAATGTGTTCTTCCCTGGCCCATGCCCCATCCCTCCACCAAGTTTGGTGCAAATCACTTTGGTAGTTTTTGCTGACAAACAAACAAACCAACCAACAAACAGACACGGGTGAAACATAATATCCTTGGTGGAGGTAATGATAAATGCTACGCATATTATCAACCATCAGTAATGAATAGTTGCATATAAATTAAAAAGAGCTAGAATAGATTCTTTATCATTATTTTACCATATACTGTTTAATTTGGGTAAAAAACAACCCAACAGAAATATTAAAAAAAAACAACAACATTAACACTGGATTAAAACATTCCCTTCGTGACTGGTTTCTACCCAACAGGTACAGTGGGACACAGTGATTTTTTCAGTGTGTATATAAATCCATGCAGTGCTTTAGAGGAGATACTGTTACCCTCATGTTGTTCAAATTCTTCAGTCAGGTAATTACATTCCTCAATGATTTTTCCTTCACTAATCCTCTTGCCCATCCCAAAATCTCTCAGTGTAGTCAGAGCAAAACGTCTCATTTCTTTCCACGAGTCGCCATTGGAAAATAGTATGCCTGAAAACAAATGGTTGACTAGTTTTAACACCAACACAAACAAGTAGCAAAAAAAACCTCTCAAAACATTTTCTTACCGTGTCCTTTGTTGAAATCGTAGAATATGGGAGTGACCTCTCTGTCTCCAAACTCCTCAGCATGGTTGACCAGAGCCTGTTTGACTGTCCTGTATCCTGCCAGGACCACCACCTTCTTAAGTCCAAAGTAGACTGTGAACACCGGTCCATATTTTTTGGACAGCTAAAAACATCAACACAAGTAAAAGTGAGACTCACAATAATAAGAAGAAATTGAATTTACTGACTTTTAAAGAAAACATATTTATGAATGCAAATCAGTCTCCTATCATAGCAATGGAGTAAATTACATTGTTTCAGATACACAAGACATTTCTCACATCAAAAAGAGCGCTGTCGAGTCTCTTCAGATCCACCTGAAGCAGGTTACCAAGCAGGGGAAGACGTTTAGGTCCTGGAGGCTCAGTCCCATTTTCCTGGGAGCTGAAGGTGGAGTAAAGAAGGTGGAGGACCAGCAGGACCACAGTGGCCCCCAGCAGGGAGACTGAAGTGGAGGACTGAAGAAGACTGTCCAACATGATTCTATAGTCAACTGGAAAATTCCCTGACTCCTCCAACACAGACCTTGTAATGTCCTCACAAAGAGTTCAAAGTGTTCCTCTGTGGACTGAAGGGATAGGGGACAAAAGAAACTGGGTTGTCACTACTAGCTTGTTGTGTTCTGTTTGAAACTGAATTCCGGCTCGGTCACATTACATCTCTGTTCAATGAAAAAGTAAATAAAAACTGGTCACTCAGAGAAATGACAAACTAAAAATTAAGCATGAGAGCTACAGTTTGATGTCGGGAAGTGTTTTAACCATCTGAGCCCACCCACAAGATTTTTTTTGTTATTTCTAATAAAGTTGTCATTTTTAAGAGTTTAACCAAGTGCTACACATGTTCAGAATCTGCGCAACATCAAGTAATTATATATTTCACTCAAAAAGACTTTTTACAGTATAACAGGGATTAATAACCCATAAAACAAAACAAAAAAAACTGACCTTGAATTTTCCTTTATTTTATAGATAAAAACATTGTGAACCATAATAAAGAAAGATAATTCCAATACAGAAAGTAGCACACATTAATTTGATTTGTGCTAAAGGTGATTTGAAGTTTCATGAGTTATGCTGATTCTTTGGAGCAGTATTTGTGGGCGTCTTTTGTCTGCTCCAATAAAAAATCCACTCCAAAGCTTCTGCTGTACTAAATATCTGACTGGTCACATCCCTCTGTCTGTAGGCCAAGACTCTGAATCAGACGCTATGATTGGCTGTGACAGAACTGAAGCCAATAATAATGTCAAATTGAGTGATGTTACTCTAGACCTCACTGGCAAAGGAGAGAACCGGAGAAAGCAGCAGTGCGGCAGACAGAAGGCAAGACAACTCTAGATCTTTCCTAACTTGTCATGTTAGTGTATCGATCGAGGTCAGACGAACATGGGCTCGTTAGAAAGCTCAGATTCTTCAGAGGTGTCTCTCGCTCAAACGCTCGCGGAGTAATGGCGCTCTAAACAATGTGAAATTTGGAATAGGGCTCCCGCAGGCCTAACCATGTGGTGATGAAACATGCTAGAATAATAACTTGTCCATTTCCAAAAAAAAGCGCGGCAGTGTCTCTGTAGCTCAAAGAAGCACATCCAAGCTGAACTCTGACCTGTAAATATTCCGGAGCAGCAGTTAAAGGCTTCCACAGAAGCGAACAGGAGACGCATCGAGTATTGTTTTTTATAAGAGAAACCTAATATGACCAAGCCCTTAGCCCCCACCTATCTGGGTGGAACTACAAACCAAGGGTTCCCTCCTCCTTTCCTAAAGGCCTCAACATGAACGCACCGTGAATCCAATACCACCAATTGTCACCTCCTCAGTGCGTGTGAAGGAGCAGATCAACCAGTCAGTCAAACGTCTACTTAAACAGTCAATCAGGATTAAGCAGGTAAAACACAAAATCTGGAAAATTACAGGCATGAAGTTCCAAGGAGAGCGTGAGAATTAAACAGTGAACATGTAAATGTCTTTGAGAAGTGAGGGGATACAGTGCATTTTACATGAGCACACCTGTTTTACTGCTCTGTCCACAGAAGAAAGCAGCACAGTAGCCTAATCAAACATGAGAACATAAGACAAAGATAAGCTCTGTTTAAAATGAATACATACTTAAAAAAAGTATCACATAAATATATATCGCCAGTTTATATCACTATTATTATTATTATTATTATTATTATTATTGTTGTTGTTGTTACCATTATTATTATTATGTGGTCACAATAAGCAGAGTGTTGCACCCATCATTCCTCAAATCATTCTTATGAAGGTTTATGAGGTTTGTTTTTCAATGACTAGCTTTATGCCACTCGAGACCTGGATCAGACAAACATCATAGTAGGTCTTTCAAATGTGTCTTGTCGTGTCACTAGTCCTCTCACACTGGAACTTGCATCGTGTGTCTTTAATTGTGGGAGAATAGAAAACCTTCACTGCTGTTTGAAGGTGTTGTTTCATTGTTTTCTTTTTGTATTGTTGCAAGTTGTAATGGTAGTTTCTTCTGAGAATCTTTCAAACTGAACCCACAGGGTTTTTATTTCCTAATCCACCTTTTAGGCAGAGAGCCACCTCCAGATTTTGACGCTTAGAGCTTGAACGATGAGAGCTGAATCTGTGCTGAGGGCCTGTGTGGAAGTTAAAGACCTAGAGTTCTCGATTAACAGCCACTCCCCTTGTCGCCGCCTTCTCAACAGCATGACAACAGAAACTTTTAATCTGCCTTGCCTGCATTTAGGTGAAGAGATATATCAAAGAAACTGGCCAAGCAGCTTTTCTATATCAGATTAAATTCCATACCCTACTCCCTCGCTCACTGACAAGTACCAACACGTCTCTTGTTAATGTAAATAGAATGGTTGTTCCTTCATTTCTTGGCAAGAGCTGCAACCTGCAATGATTGAACACTAACCTGGAGGCTGTTGGTATTAAACTGCAGCTATGATTGTAGAAAGTTTCAGTTAGCCACTGCTAGTTTATCAGCTAAACGTCATCTCTTGAATCTACTCTTTTACAGCTCTGCTACATTAGGTTTTAAGCCAGACCAGGTCAGACGCAGGTTTAATGTTACTTATTCACTCCACTGTTATGCAGCTGAGTACCATGAATAAAGGAGCATTCAGCTGTTGAGAAAAAATGTAAAAACAGTTTAAATATTCCCTTTCCCTTCATGAAATCCTTTGTATTACTTTAACTTTTTGTCTGTTTTCAACAGAAAAGGTTGAGAAGAATGTATACAGTATTTTTTAATAAATTATCCAGAAGAAAAAACATACAGGGATGAAAATAAAAGATCACATGTACTTTACAGTAAATAAATGTCATGATCTGCCATGATTTTAAAATGTCATTTGCTGGCAAACTGTCTTTGACAAAACCAAAGCTCATCAGTTTGTGAACAAAAAAAATCCACAGTGGCTGAGAAGCAGGAATTTACTATAACAGCATCTCTTACTATAAAAATGTACATACATCCAAATTGTATCAGTCTGAGTAAACTAATGTCTACAGATTTACAAACAGCGTGTAGTCTAGTGTTGCCACCATCATTTTCTTTTTTCCATTACCATCTCAGGCAAGGTGCTCTCTTCAGACACTTGAACTGTCACATGGCTCTTCTGTCTCCTGATGATATACTCCCTTATTTTTCACCAATCATGGTCCTGAGGATGGGGACATCTGGTGGCCGCTCAGCACACAACGCAGTGGTGCATTGTAAAGGAGAGCGAGAGTGAGTACTGCAATATTCGTGCCATTGACACAGGCGGGTGTAATGCCATGCTCTGGCTGTCTTCCTCACTGGCGGCTCACAGCACACAGCTTATGAGGGGAAGGAGGGAGAGTGAAGCCCACAGCCGCTGTCAGATCCAGTTCATCCTCTGTAACTCCGGGTGGAGGAGTGAAGCGAAAGCGCTGGAGGAGGGAGGTGAAGAAGAGGAAGAGCTCCATCTTTGCCAGACCCTCTCCGAGACACACCCTGCGACCTGCAAGAAGCAAGAGTAGCAAGTATGATGTCTGTTCAAGTGTAAATTAGCTCTTATCTGTGAAGTACAAAAACCTGACCAAGCTGTTAACCCTGCTGAACCATAAAATATCTGTAATCTCCAAAGAACAAACAACAAGTTTGTCATACCTGCAGAAAAGGGCATGAAGGCATCTCTCCTGATAAAGTTACCCTCCCCATCCAGGAAGTGGGAAGGGTTGAAAGTGTGTGGGCTCTCCCACTCACTCTCATCATACAGGACAGAAGTAAGGAGAGGAAACACAGTAGTTCCCTGGAGGCAAAAGAGAAGAGTATCAAGTCTCAGAATAAGAGCACTGTCACATTTTCAGAGGTGGTAGAACCAACAAAAACAAATTTGTGATGAGCATTGACACAGATGTGAAGAACTGACCTCTTTGATGAAGTAGCCCTGGAAGGTGACGTCTCGGCTGGTTTTGTGAGGAATAGACATGGGGACAATGTTGGCCAGTCTCTGTGTCTCATGGATGACAGCATCAGTGTAGGGCATGTTTTTCCGGTCTTCTACCTGGACCTGACGGCTTCCTAGCACCCTGCTCAGCTCATCCTGGACCTGGTCTAGGGCCACAAAATAAGAAATTCATATTTTTTGTCTGCAGTTATGAAATGTTATCAACGAGCTGTATGTAACTTAAGTATATAAATACTATAAAGTACTATAAATAAATGAATACATAAATAAATAAATGAATACATAAATAAATGCTATTTCTGTATTTTTACATGTATTTATTTATGCTTTTCTATGTGTATTTATATTCATTCATTCATTCATCCATTTATTCATTTATGCATTCCAAGATTTATTCCTGTATGTCTACATTTATTTATTTGTTTCTACATTTATTTTTGTATTTCTACATTTGTACATGTAGAAATGATGTACAAATACAGAAATAGCATTTAATTTATTTTGCATTTATTTATGTATTTAATTATTATTTCAGCATTTATTTATTTATACTGTGTCATGTCATTTTTTTCCCCTTACTATCTGCTCTTAACACATAATCAAAAGCTTAATTCAGATCAAATTAGAACAAGATTACAAGGACAGATCTGAAAACCTTGAATTCTTATGTTTACTTTACAAATGGAAAGCTGCACCAAAAGTTTCTTTTATCCTTTTTCTTTGTCAAGTGTTAAAAGGCACCCAGGGGTGAAAACCTACGAGGAAAGACTCACAAGCCTCATCTCTGACCTTACCTTGTATATGTGGATATTTGGCCATAAGCAGCAAACCCCATCTCAGTGTAGTGGCTGTGGTGTCAGTACCAGCAGCAAACAAGTTTGTGACTGTGAATATTAAGTTTTTCTCATTGTAATGCGTGTCCATAACACAGGAGTCCTAAGAGAAAGAACCCACATATCATTACAAAATAGCCGTGTGCAACATTGCTATTCTTTGTGTCAGATGAAGAACGTGACTTTGATGTTGTCTCACCTCTTCTTTCTGCTTCCGAATGAGAAAACAGTCCACGAGCCCCCTGCATGTGTCAGGGTTCAGTGTCTCTTTCAGTTGCTTGATCAAATCTTTGACGTCTCTGACACTCATTTCCAAATTTTTTAATATCAGCTGCCGGTTTTTTATCCAACTGACCAGCCTGGGAAACATGTTGTAAAGCTGTGACACAACAATGGAAAGAGCAGATATTATTTACGGTGTGAACCAAACAACAACCCACGTAGATAGATTTCCAAGGATTATAGGAAAAAAGTGTGTTTGTTTTTTGTTTGTCTTTTTTAACTAATTAAACATTGAGACTTGTTCTATGTGCCATGGGAGTGTAAAAGCTCATATTACATGAAGGAGAGAGATAGAGAGAGCTCATTCCATGCAGTATATATGCTCACATATATCCAGCACTTTCCATCAGTTATTTTCCAGTTAAATAATATTTTCCATCACCAAATCTATACAGTTTCCATCCATTTTTATTATGACATATATATTTTTTGATTGTATCCTGTATTGTTTTGTCATTTGAAATTTGCCCCAAAGACAAAATATGTAATTATGTCCTAGTTTACCTTATTATAAATATTTCTGTATTTGAGTCTGCATGAAGTAGATCAAATTTGCCAGCTATCATTGCTTAGTTAAGTCAGTTTTCATGCCACCCCCTTGAAACAGCAAACACAAGGCTTACCTGGATTGATGCAGAACCTACAATGCGTATTGTCTCGTTTGCTCTTCTCACCAAGTTTTTGAATCGAGGGTCATCGTATTCAAATCTGCTTCCGTACACGATAGAGGAGATGATATTGGATGTTGCGTAATTCACCGGACAAGTTGTGTCAAATGGTTTCCCTTTAAAAGACACAAGAAACAATTAAATTGATCAAGCTGAAGTACCACAGGAAAAATGTTGAGAGTTATATCAAAAGGATACATGGCTGCTCTTGACAGCTCAGTTATGGTCAACACTTCCTGGTCACTGATTACAAGTTCCTTACACCCACCTGATTTGTTATTTTTTGTGCATTAACCCCATACCTTTGTGCTCCTCAAACATTTGGATCAGATACCGACATTCCTCCAGGATCTTCTCCTCAGCCACTCTTTTACCCATCCCAAAATCTCTGAGGGTGGTGAGGGCGAAACGTCTCAGCTCTTTCCACGATTCTCCATTTGCAAACAGAATTCCTATTAAACATGCAAGTTAAAAGAAATCTGTACTATATCATGTATATATTACGACATGCACTACTCATCAGTGACTCTCCTATACTAAACAAACCATAAATTAATAGACTGAACAGTGAGACAAATTAAAAAATGACAAATACAGTGACCTAAGTGATTTTGCTTTTGTATAGATAAAAATATAAAGGCAAAGTAAAGGAAAGTCATACCATGACCTTGATTGGTTTCATAAAATATAGGGGAAATGTTTCGGTCTCCAAACTCTTCTGCATAGCTGACCAGAGCCTCTTTGACCGCCTTGTATCCAGCCAGGACCACCACTTTATTGGTACCAAAGTAAACCGTAAATACAGACCCATATTTCTTTGAAAGCTGCAAAAAAACGGAAAATGCAGTCACATAAGTCAGAAATCTTGTAAAAACATTTACTCTTGTAAAAATGTGTAAATTAAAGGAGATTTAAATAAGTTGTGACGTGTTACACAAAATGGCTTTGTTTTGGATTAGGAGTGCTAAACTTACTTCACAGAGGGTTTTGTACGGTCTCTTGAGATCAAGCTGTAGCAGGTTACCAAGCAGAGGCAGAGGCGGCGGCCCTGGAGGCTCTTTTCCCATTTTCTCCGAGGTGAAGCTACAGGACACAAGGTAAAGGACAAGCAGGACAGCAACGGCCCCCAACAGGGTGGTGGGACTGGAGAAGAGGAAGAAAACTAAATCATCCAAAAGAGCCATTTGTTGTGCTGTTGTTGATCTTCTCCTCTGACTGACCTACATTTAACACACCGCCCTTTAAGATCACGCGAACAACTGGAATGTCCGGTCAGGTGTAGTGTTACTCCCCGCCCCTCTGGGCTCTGTTTGCACACAACTGAGACACACATCTCAAAAGAGCGGCAAATATGACAGCTAAAACACAAGGGCAGTTTGGCCAGGGTTTTAATGCAACATTTTGGCAGGTAGGCAGGTTCATAGAAGAGCAGGGTAATTACATCATGGCATCTCTGATTCCAGGTACATCTAATCACAGATTAAAATGTGGGTGAACTGTATTGTAGGTTACAGATTTTATGACAGTTCTGCTGCGGACTGGTGCACAGTGTTTTAGGTATCTTCAAGGCTGCACATATGTAGACCTGACAGTGTCTAACCTTTTTGGCTTGGTAATACAATGAATATCTGCTTGCAACCTTTGTGTTTGTGAGCTGTGAGAAATTCAACTAAAACAAGTAAGTCTGATTTTGTGTGGAAGAATTTAGTTTTTGCTTTTTTCCTACACCTAGTATTGATCTTGTGAGCTCCCTGAGGGAGTTTCAACATTCAGCTTGATAGCTATTGGTCTAGACAACTCAGTAATGTACACTGCAAATACCATCAATACACTGCATTGCGGCTGCACCAGGGCAAACACTCCACGACCAGACTGGCTTTTTTAAAACATGGAGTGAAAAGATTTTTCAAAAATGCTTAATTTCATCATTTAGTTTGACACACAAGTCGGTTATGCAAGTTGCAGAATATATTTGTTGTAGATCCTGTAGTGTTCAGTTATTAATTATTTTTATTTTATTTTGTTCCCAGGGATAGTTGGCTCCACGGTGCTACAGTCCACAGGTTTAAATTACAGCAAACATGGCATCTTGTAGTTGAACCAGGCATCAAGTTTAGAGAAAAAAAGCATTTCTCAATGTTTGTGCCAGTGCTGTAGAAATAGCTCAGTGTGGCGCATTTGTGGCTGCAAAATGTTTTGATAATCTTACCTATCAAAGATTTTGATAGCTAAGACTATCAAAACATATGCTTAACATAAACTGTTGTTATTCATAGTGTATGTAAAATTGTGGGCTCACCAAACAAACAAACAAACAAACAAGTTTTTCCACTTACCCCTGGTGGCATCTCTGCATGGAAACATGGGCAGGAAAAGTGTGAAGTCTTTGTTACTGGAAAAATGAGACCTGAAGCTGGTGTTTGCTTCCATTTGCATAGAGCATTATTTAATTTAAAAAGAATAGCGATACATATACAGTTGACAAGTTCATTTCCATGGTACAGTACAGTACACAGTTACAATGATGTAAATTCCCTTTTTAAATATGATACACTGTATTTCAGCATAACTCAATCCTTCAATATCAGCAGTGCAAACCTTTACATTTTTCTCTAACTACATATCCAACATTGCATTTGATTCAAGTCATAACATGTAATGAGACATTAATTGTGCAACTACACAAAAAAACATAACAAAAGTCAAAATTAAGAGGTTAAATCACCTAAAGACCAATAGGCCACATATCAGTGTCTTCATGGAATGTCAGTCTCTACATTTTTTTTTTTTTCCACAAACATCAGGTGACATGAAGAAAACGCTGTAAATCATATCAAGCTGTTAACAAAGTTGATTAAAGTGAGTGCTTTTTGCTTTTGTGTAAGACATTAAATACATTCATCTCACTTCTGTGAAGCCAGAGTGATTTCTCGAGAGTAGGAGTCTGATCACAAGAGTTAAGTCTGATTGCTTATTCATCCCAGGTTATAACATTGATCTTTAACACAGACGACAGGCAGGAAATGAGAATTTATTTCTCATCAATATGTGTAGGATATTTTTGGAGGGGAAACTTCATGTCACTCATAATATTCCTACAGAATACACACATCTTTTTACATGTTCTTTAAAGTACAAAAAAAAAAGGCTTTGGGAATGTGATAAATGGGCACGTTCTGAGTTCAATGAAAGAGGAACAAACACTGCGCTGATCATTCTTCCTCAAAACAAGGCATCTATTTGTGTGCAGAGGACTGTGTTTAGTTTTATCATCTGTACCACTGCTGGGCCTTTTTATTGCACTTCCTGACGTTCCCTAAAGCAGGAGCAGCTCTACGTTAAAGATGTTAATGTTCACCCATTACAAAATGACAATCTATTGGTTTTCATTTGTTTAAGAACTATCATAGCACTGTTTTTGTATAGTCTGGATGGATTCAGGAATAATGTGTTGTCATCCTCTCTCTCTCTCTCACACACACACACACACACACACACACACACACACACACAGATGTACCATATGAGGTGCATAGCTGCAGGAAAAAAAGAAAACATTTGTTCAAAAACACCTCAAAAGTCACTGTAGTCTTGCTATTCTAGGTCTAAATCAATCACATGCAGTCTGATACTATTTGAAGTCAAGACCTCCTGTTTTTACTGCAACAGCACCATTTGAAAATAATCTTCTGTATCACACAATGACTCTTTCTAAATAGCTTCCACGTAAACTGTAATGGCCGGATTTTGATCTGTTGCCGTAACTTGTTTGGCAGCAAAAAAAAGAAAAAAGAAAAAAAAGAATCATTTGTTCATAAGAGCTCAACAATGGAGGTATATTAAATTTACTCAGACTGGACTAAATGTACTCTGAGGGTTAATCCTCAGCAGAAAGGACGGTCTTCCAGCGTTCCCAGAATCATGCGCTTAATTGGTAAGTCGTATTTTCTGCATGCATCGATTAATGAGCCAAATACAGCCTTTAAAAAGAGTAAAAGCTCTGCTCTGGTCTGAATGAGTAAGTGGTTTTAGCGTCATGAACACGCCACATTATTTACATCTGGCAACAACATTTTGTATAGGGTAATATAAAGAAAAAAAATAACCCTCATTGGTTAGATAAGGCGCAAAGGTGTGCAACAATTTCATAATGTATCAAACAGAGTGGTTCATTCTCTTGTGATGATTGATGATCACCAAAACAAAGCTCAAATTCCTGGAACCAAAATCAAGTCATAAAATAAAATCATAAATAACAAAAAGACAAACTGTACACAGCTAAGTGCACACACACAAATGACCCTGTCACATACAATTCAGAGTAGTGGTAGTATCTAATGATTGGTGTCATTGTCTTTGACCTCACTAAAAAGGTGCAGAGTTCATTACTTGGTATAAATGACATACCCTCATGTCATTATCCCAATTTTCCTACTTTCTCATTACACAACAACAATAATGACGGCATGAATGACCCGACAAAGACACATCAACAGGATACAGTAGTAGAAATGCTGAAGTTGATGTTTGGGGACTGGCCCAATGTGTGTGTTTCTGTGTGTGTGTGCGTGAGTGTGTGCGTGTGTGTGCGTGTGTGTGTGTGTGTGTGTGTGTGTGTGTGTGTGTTGTTGGTCACGGTAAAAATGGACCTGGAGATAAACGGCGCTCTGCTCCAGCCTGTGTACGCAACTGCTGTGTAACCGAGACAGGTCCATGTACACAGGTCCTATACACAAACACACACGCACTGTAGTTAATGGACAAGGGATGGACGGACTCGTCACGCCACCTATTTCCTACCGCTCTCTGTGCAGTGCTGGAACTGGGCAAAGCTGAGGAACACCTGCTCCAGTGATATCTGGCTCACACAGTAGTCTTCAATGCGGTATTTCTCTTTGGCTGCCTCCAAAGTACCAAACACCTGGGTGGGAGTGGAGAACAGGGAGTGAGAATGCGTGTTACCCATGGCTTTCTGCCAAGATCACAATTTCAAGCTACAATAAGCATCTTCTGAACAATGAAAATACAAATACTTACACCTGCCCCTGTGTGCAAATAACAACGGTATATCTTTTATTCCATGAACATTTCTACCTATTCGGTGTTGTTTGGGGCATTTTGGAGTACATGACATGATTATACTACCATACCAGTACTGTCACAGCATGTCAAATGAACAACACTGATTCACAACATTTCGAGATTTGCCATTCATGTTAAACATCTGTAGTAGTTTTACAAATCCTCACTCTGAGCTCATCAAGATAAAAAAAAAAAAAAAACATGCTGAGGTGGAAACATGACTAAATAAGCAGGAGAAGGAGACTAAAGAGCACTTCCTGGCTAAGTAACTTTTTGTTGAAGCTTTAAAAATAATAACTCAGGCACTTGAAAGTTGCTGCGTATTATTTTATCCACTAGAGGGAGCTCGAACACAGCAGTGTGCAGGGATGGATTTATCTGATTCTAATCTTCTAAACGTTTTAAATGTGCAGATCTGTTACAGTACCTGAGCCCAGGTCAGTGTTTTGTCAGTCAAATGATAGTGCACCATTCCCTGGTGTTCATCCTTTAGCTGACTTCCTGTGGAGGGAGGAATTTCACATGGTTAGATCCACTTTGCTATTCTTTCACAGTGACAGATCAATTCAGCAGCAGAAGACCTTCAACTGGTTAATGTAGTGCAAGAAAAATACCAAATCCCACTAAGAAATACAAGCAATTTGAATGGTTATTTGACATTTTAAGTACAGAATGATGACTTTACATTTGAAATTTTGATGCCATTACATTTGATTCTATTGTTTGCCATAATGCAGCACTCTGACACCTAAAACATAAGCTATAAAATTTATTTTTTAATAGTTATTGTGGTAATAAACACACACTTACTCTGACTGAATTAGTTATCTTTATCATATATGTAAATATTAAAATGAACATTAACTCTGTGCCTCTGACCTGGAAAAGTGCTTTCAATAAAGTCTTTAAATAGCTGCAGGTCACTGTCCTCCAACTCAGTCTCTATGTGTACTTTAGCCAGCAGGGTGTAGCCGCTGCCAAACTTGCTCTTCAGGTGTTGGGGACTCCCGAGGCATTTGAACTGACCGTTGACCATCACTGCCAGCCTGGTGCACAGGGCCTCACACTCCTCCATACTGGTAAGGGAACAGATCAAGGGCACAGGTACAGGTGTAAGCATCTTCACTTCTTTTAGTTTTCATATATCAAGATGTAGCAACAT